TAGGAACATGTAAAGTATTAATGTGTTCTGTTTTATTTTCTGTTTGCTCTACTTTGTTCCTTGTTGGATGTAATAAATGAATATGTTATTAATGTTAAAAATAAATAAGTTTTAATATGAATAAGAATGCTCTCTGTGGATTCCTGTGCAGACCTTATGAGGAAAAATTATGACATGACTATGTGAAATATGCACAAATGACATGAGACATAAGAATGGACTATATTTATTGTGTATTAATGTTAGGGTAGAGGGTGTCACACCTTTAAGACCCAAAATCTATCAAATCACATTCCAATAAAATTCAATTTAAAACAACTAACATTTGATGAGTATAAACAACAAACAACCAACACTTCCCAACAATTCATCAATCACAAACTTCCTTTACATCTAGTTGCTCAAAAGAGAAAAGAGGAGGAATAAGGAAGAAATCTCCGCATAGTCTTGACTTGGTATTCTTGGCCACACAAGCTTCAAATCACCAATTTATCAACTTCGATCAACTACAAGGAGAGCTTGAGAGGAATTAGAGGAATGCAAGGATGAAAAGATCTATTGAACTCCAAAGAACTTCTTTCTACCTTATCTCTAGGTTTCCTTAAAACATGACCCTATAAGGTTCACGTCTTAAGAAAAACCTTATATTCTTATTCTAGTTGACCCCAACTAGCTCTAACTAAAATAGACCCAGAGTTAACTTAACTCTCAAGGCCCCCTCCCCCTTGATCCTCATAATTCTAAAACAACAACACTAGAAATTAACAATTAATCATATAATTAATCAAATAAGTAAAAACACATAGAGTGACAATATATATTATTTTTATTTTGATAACTTAAAAAGCATTAAATAATTAAAATATTTATTTTAAATATATAATTAATTTTAGAAAATTCATAATAGTTTTTAAAATGATAATTGAATATGTAAATCAAAAGATAAATTGTTAAAATGTAAAATTTGAATTTTTTAAGAGAATAAAATGTTTATTTTAACACCAGAATGGATGACAGTATAATATTTACATCTATGAGAGAATGTTATTGTAAAGGATATTTTAGTAATATATTTTTTTGTGATGAAAATTTAATGGTACATTTAAAAAATGGATAAAGTGTCATATATATTAGAATTTGTTAAAAGAGAAGACTGTAATTTTTAACATAAGAGAGAATGATTGTGTAATATTGGTATTGTTTAGGAGAGGGATGTAATTTACTTAATAATTAAATATTTAAATTCAGTTTTAGTCTTTAAAGTTTGATGAATCTTAATGTGCTTGTGAGTTACACTAACTTATAGTTACTTATTTACATAAGAAACTAATATTATTGAAAATTAAAAAAAATTATTTAATTGATTACAAATTTAACTGAAATATAAAGGAAAATAACATATATGTCGTAAAAAATAATGTTGCTCCTTACATGTAACCAAGGTGACTAAGTAACTATCAAGTAACTTGCTTATGGATATGACAACATTTTCTAATAAATTTTGGATATGTTAATGATAGACTAACATTGCTTAATTTTAAAAATCGGAAGACTAAAATTGCAATAAATTTTTTTGAAGGATCAAAATTGAACATTCAGAAAATTGATAAGAATGAAAAGTGGATTTAAACATGTTATCAACAAATTTTTTATAGTCTTGAAGAAAAGAATCAGAGGGAGATTATTCAAAGAAAGACTAGAAAGGGAGACGTTCAAAAATCAAGGGTGATCTATGATGAAATTTTTGATTAAAGAGGATTATGAAGTTAGGATAGTTGTCGGTTTTTAGAAGTTACTAAGATGTACACTTGTATGGCCTATGTTTGCATTGTAATATTTTTTTCTTTAAATACTCAAATCAAGGTTTGATTGAAAGTCATAAATACTTCACACAAACTTACTCTGGACCGCTCTGCCTACACTCACGACTTTTAGTTGAGTATTGTTTGCATATATATTTATGTATCAACTTTTTTCTTTTCATTTTAGTATAATATACCTTTAATTACTTTCTTTTAAATTTAGTTTTAGTTCTTAATTCTTATTATGTTGATACAATTCCTCCGACTGATATTCATGTTAATGAATTGGTCATTATAAAGATTAATTTACAAGAGATTCAACTTTTATAATTAATAATGATCAAGTTATACATAAAAATCATAGTTTATTAATAACATTTAAGTTAAAATCCCTAATTCGATTATAAAGAATCCACTTAATAAAATTCACATAAAACAAAATCAAAATTTAAATAATCACAAAATTAAAATTTTAATATGCATATAAATGTGTAAAAACAAAATAGTGAGCATGAATTACAAAAAAAAATTATAATTTGTAGTTATTATCACGAATTATACTTAAAAAAAAAATTAAATGATGATGACATACCGTAAAATTCATCAAAACTCTTAAAAAAATATTATTTAAATTAAATTTGTGATTAAATTTGATTTTTTTTTTTTTGATAAGGTTAATGTTGATTGTCTATTTCATTTATTAGGTGAAAAAAATTATAATTTGTAAGCAAACCAAATATTTACAAAAACATCATATATGTATATTTATTTATTTTTTCCATATTCAAACTTTATTCAATTAACAAACATATACTGCAAATCTTGGAAGCTACCATAAATGAGACATATGCCATCTAAACCTTTCTCTAAATTCATGAATGTATTTATTAATAATGATTGATAACAAAATTAGATGAACATTGTGACTTGTAAATGAACCAAGTATTTAGGAAATATCATATATATTAAGACATAATATTTGAAATTTTGTACAATTAACAACGTGTACTTAAAATCTTAAAAATTATTGTGAATCAAACACGTGTCATTTAAACTTGCATTTGAATTCATAAATATATTTAAATTATTAATAGGATTAATGGTTAATGTAAAATGTTTTACATAGACAACTAATAAAAATTATGATTTTAATATGATTTTTAAATTACTATAAAACTCAGGTATAATTCATTAAGTACAATTGATATTGTTTTATCATTGAATTGAAGATTTAACTCGGTAATATACACTTGTATTTAATGTAAAATTTATTAATATATACTTATGTATTTTATTGAGATAAATCTTTAATTTTGATTAGAGAGCAATACCAACTATATTTAATAAATTATAACTACGTTTTGTCCATATAATTTTATTGTGTTCATCCAATCATTTTTATAAGTGTGTTATTTTTTTTTTCAATAGTTATTTAGAAACACAAAACTTTGATACAATTCCTTAAGTGTGGTTAGTATTGTTCTTTAATTAAAATTAAAAATTTACCTCAATATATAGTACATGTAAATATATATTAATAAACTTTGAATTAAATGCAAGTATATATTAATAAAGTAAATCTCTAGTTTAACACCAACTACAATTAAAAAACTAAAATTAAGTTTTGTCCAAACTATTTCACAAAATCAGTGTATTATCATTAAATCATATTATAATAATTTTTAATTATTTATAAAATAAAATTAATCATATGTACACACATAATTAATAACATATGTTAACCGGTAAGGGTAAGATAATTCAACCATAAGACTATTAAAGCATAAGATACATGTCCATCAACAAAATTATTTGTTATTTTTTTTTATAAAATAAGAAGAGCACATAATTTGATAAAAAAGACTTTATATGCTAAAAATAAATTAATATATATATATATATCTTTTTTCTTATCTTTATTATTTTAAGATATTTTAAATGAGTTAATTATCTATGCATTATTAATGTAAAAATTTTTTTTATACTGACAATCAATTATATCTCTTAATTGTGTCATACCACTATAAATACATTTTCTTTTAATAATGACATGATACAACTAAGAGATATAATTAATTATAAATAAAAAAATGTATGATACTTGTTATTTTTTTTTATAAAATAAGAAGAGCACATAATTTGATAAAAAGACTTTATATGCTAAAAATAAATTAATATATATATATATATATATCTTTTTTCTTATCTTTATTATTTTAAAATATTTTAAATGAGTTAATTATCTATGTATTATTAATGTAAATTTTTTTTTTATACTGACAATCAATTATATCTCTTAATTGTGTCATACCACTATAAATACATTTTCTTTTAATAATGACATGATACAACTAAGAGATATAATTAATTATATAAAAAAAAAATGTATGATACTTTTTCCAAGTTGATTCCTTAACCGCGTCGAGTTCATTAGATTTGATCCTCCCCTACACACCAGGACAATTCACCTCTCACAAATTCCAACTCCACATCATCACTACGCCATCCCTTCCTTGCACATTCCCTATTCAGAAACCTCCCTTTTTTCTTTCTTGACACAGTCAAATTCACATACCTTGATGCACCAACACACTCTATTCCTTCTCCTTCAATCAAACCATTCATTCAACCTTCATAAACTCTCGTGTCCCAATCTCATTCAATTCACTCCCTATGCAAAACCTAATCCAATAAAACCTTTGCCATTGCCAAACCCCTCAGCAACTCTCACCTAAAATTTCAAAATCCAAACCCCACCACCCAATTTAATACTGTAATCATACTTCATTGCTTAATCTACTCTCCCAACAAAAATCATATCAACCTCACTCATCTCTCAAGACCTCAATTGCATTCAATCAAGCTTCACAGGAATCTCCCTATAGTCATGATCTAAGGGTTACATCTTTTTCCTTCTTGTATTTTATTATTTTCATAGAAGTTAAAAATTAAAATCTAGAACAGAGATTGTGCTTCTAAATACTGTCCCTACCGAATCTTGCAAACATTCTTCTAATATCTCTTCTAAAAATAGACTTCTATGTATAATATAGCTTTCCTTTTATACTTAACATAGATATATACGTAAATTCGAATTTAAAATTATTAATTGAACTGAAATAATTCTTTATTAGTTGATGCAAATATTCACTAATATTCTTCTAATAATTACTTTTAAACAATAATAATAATATTAACAATAATATAATCTTACAACATAGTTTAGTCAACAACCTGGAAAATGTTGAAAAAACTTAGACGCAAGGTTAGCACAGCCCTTACAGGTGGCCTTAAAAGAGGGTCCAAACCCTATAAAACCCCAACCTTCAAAATCAAAACCCCATCACCACCACCACTAGAATCACCTTCACCACCACCATTGGCACTTCCATCGCCTTCATCACCAAGATCAACAATGCATCATCACACCAGAAAGCACTCTCCTTTTCAGTTCCCACAGGTTCATTCCACTGTCCTCCCTGACCCCTCCAACTTCTTCTCCCCAAACCTTCTCTCAAATCCACTCCCCACAAACTCTTTCTTCCAAAACTTTGCCCTAAAAAATGGTGATCAACCTGAGTACATTCACCCTTACCTCATCAAATCCTCAAATTACTCTCTTTCCAGATCATACCCATCTCGCTTCTTCAACTCCTCCTTCACCTACCAAGTCTTCAACCCTGATCTCACCATCTCTTCCTCCCAAAAATCCCACCTTTCCCATTGGAACCACACCATCTCTTCCCACAGTGATCTCAGTGTCACCTTGGACATCCCCCCTCTCATACCCATCTCGCTTCTTCAACTCCTCCTTCACCTACCAAGTCTTCAACCCTGATCTCACCATCTCTTCCTCCCAAAAATCCCACCTTTCCCATTGGAACCACACCATCTCTTCCCACAGTGATCTCAGTGTCACCTTGGACATCCCTTCTTCCAATTTGAGGTTTTTCCTTGTGAGAGGAAGCCCCTTTTTGACCCTTTCTGTGACTCATCCAACCCCTCTTTCCATCAGCACCATCCATGCCATTCTCTCTTTTTCCTCCAGTGATTCCCTCACCAAACACACTTTTAGCCTCAACAATGGCCAGACTTGGCTTTTGTATGCTTCTTCACCGATTAGGCTCAGTCATGGGCTCTCTGAGATCACTTCTGATGCCTTTTCTGGCATAATTAGGATTGCCTTGTTGCCTGATTCTGATTGGAGGCATGAGGCTGTGCTTGACAGGTTCAGTTCTTGTTACCCTGTGAGTGGTGAGGCTGTGTTTGGAGGGCCATTTAGTGTGGAGTATAAGTGGGAGAAGAGAGGGTGGGGTGATTTGTTGATGTTGGCACACCCTCTCCATCTTCAGCTTTTGGGTGATAGTGGTTGTGGAGATGTTAATGTTTTGAGTGATTTTAAGTATGGGAGCATTGATGGGGAGCTTGTTGGTGTTGTTGGGGACTCATGGCTTTTGAAAACTGATCCAGTTTCTGTGACTTGGCATTCTATTAGAGGCGTGAGGGAAGAATCTCGGGACGAGGTTGTTTCGGCGCTTGTGAACGATGTTGAGGGTTTGAATTCGTCGGCAATAGCGACGAATTCGTCGTATTTTTATGGGAAATTGATTGCAAGGGCTGCAAGGTTGGCTTTGATAGCCGAGGAGGTGTGTTTTCTTGATGTGATTCCTAAGATTAGGAGGTATTTGAAGGAAACCATTGAGCCGTGGCTGGAAGGAACTTTTAATGGAAATGGATTTCTCTATGATAGGAAATGGGGTGGCATTGTTACCAAACAAGGGTCTACTGATGCCGGTGCTGATTTTGGTTTTGGAGTTTATAATGATCACCATTATCATTTGGGGTACTTTCTTTATGGGATCGCAGTGCTTGCTAAGATTGATCCGGTGTGGGGTAGGAAGTATAAGCCTCAAGCCTATTCTCTCATGGCAGATTTTATGACCTTGAGCAGGAGATCAAACTCAAATTACACAAGACTGAGGTGTTTTGACCTTTATAAGTTGCACTCATGGGCCGGAGGGTTAACCGAGTTTGCTGATGGAAGAAATCAGGAGAGTACTAGTGAAGCTGTTAATGCATATTATTCTGCTGCCTTGATGGGTCTGGCGTACGGTGACACACATCTTGTTGCCGTTGGATCAACACTCACAGCATTGGAAATTCATGCAGCTCAAATGTGGTGGCATGTGAAAGAGGGAGATAATCAGTATGGTGAAGATTTTGGAAGGGAGAACAAGGTAGTTGGTGTTCTTTGGGCTAACAAGAGGGATAGCGGACTGTGGTTTGCGCCTCCTGAGTGGAAAGAATGTAGGCTTGGCATTCAACTATTACCCTTACTGCCTATTTCTGAAGTCTTGTTCTCTAATGTTGATTTTGTGAAGGAGCTTGTGGAGTGGACTTTGCCTGCATTGAATAGGGAAGGTGTTGGAGAAGGATGGAAGGGATTTGTCTATGCACTGCAGGGGATTTATGATAATGAGGGTGCATTGCAGAAGATAAGAAGCTTAAATGGTTTTGATGATGGAAACACATTGACTAATCTCTTGTGGTGGATTCACAGCAGAGGTGATGAAGAGGAATTTGGACATGGAAAACACTGCTGGTTTGGTCATTACTGCCACTAGGTATTGTTATTGATTTCATACGTTTAAAAGGAAAATAAGTTATAATAGTTTCTTACATTGTACATAATCATAAATAAATTTCTGTATACAGCTGATACCTTTTCCTTACAGTTTCTATTATATAAAATCTGTGTGTTGTGGACTTATGCATTCATTCTCTGTTAGCCCCTTACTTGGTCATGTCATGAGGACAATATAGTTAAAGCTCTTTTGCTAGTATCTGGCCTTTACTTTTCCATTGTGTTTTTTTTTGCATTTCCACTTTGAAAAGTAGAGGCAGATGTTAGCTGATGAATGCCCTCTATGGTGATAAAGGCTTCAAATACAATTAAAGAACCCATAAATGAGTATTGACTAAAACTACTCTAGCCCCTTAATCTTGTTATACCGTGCTTAGTAATTTTTCAAAATATCAACAGCAGAAACTTGGGAGGTTTTTGATGATGGGAACTCATACCAATATTAACAGTGTAGCGGTGACAAGAAAATAACAATCTGTTTTCAACCGATACATTTTCTATTGTTCCCTTCATTTTCATTTTTTGGTTAATTTGGAAGTATTATTTAATTAAAAGATCTTAATTTAAACTCGGAAGGTTTCTCATTAACATCTGAAACCATCAAACTCAACTGTAAAGTATAGTAGCCATCAATGCTCTTGTTATGTGCCATGATGCATCAGATGCAAGTTTGAAACACTGGCTCATGGTATTTTTTTCTGTGACAAGACATGGAAACAAATTTGTATCTCAATGATTAGTTGATATATCCCAAAAACTCCAAATTCCTTGTCAACCTTTGTAGCTTCCCTTGTTCTTTTGTTGCCTCATGGAATATGTTATGTACATTGGAACACAGGAAGGAAAATAATTTATTTTTTTTACAAGAGGACTTAATTATATAATGAATAAACCATAAATTTCATCTTAAAGTATTATCCTTTCTCTTAAATGGTACCTATAAATAAAAAAAAAACTATATAAATAATCTCTCAAGTCTCAAGTATTAGAATCATGCTAAATAGCCCTCTAAGTATTAGACAAATCTTAAAATTGGTTCTTGAGTGTGAATAAAATATATCAACTTAGAGAATAAGCTGATGGATACTCAATACTTGGAGGATTACTAATAGTTTTACTAGTGTAGAGAATACTTAGGAGAGAGGGTAATACATTGAGGATCATACGGATGGTTTATCCTTATAGAATTGTTTATGACTTCCCCGTGTCACCAACTTATTCCTTCTATTCTTTTCTTCATTATCTGTGTAACCTTGTATTTGGAAATGCTAGATAATGTTCTTATCTTTTGATACAAGACAATATTTTTCTTTTCTTTTTTCAATTATAAGTTTAATTAATTAAACTTTTGATTGTTACAAGTGGAACTCATTTCTTACTTGGTCTCTGCATGATTCAAACTGGTTATCGTATGGGGATTTTGTTCATAATTCAGTTATTATTATCATATGTAGGGATCAAAATTGGGAACTTTCAAGGACTATGCAACGGTAGAGACTAAATAGAAAACGAAATTCTCTAGAGGGATTGATTTGAAAACTTATATAGGAATCACATTGAAAATGTGTGAAGAAAATTTTATAATAATTTAATTAATAATTGCATATTCCATCATACTCTATCTTTATTTTAATAAACGAAAAATGTGTAAAGATAGTGTATCGATTGTAGTTTGCAAATAACCAAATTCTTTTTCCAAATTTCAGTAATCGGAATACAGGGGACTGACAATATTTTGATCCAAGTCTGTATTCTCAAATCTCTTAGATATCCTCGTCAATAGGGGTCAGTGGTTGATGATATGTTGCAGAAAAGTATGGTGTGATTAATATAATTATTCTGAAATACTACCTAAACAGCTTTTTAGCCTCGCTACACCCGTTAATTAATTTGAATTTTATTTACCCTTATAGTTATACTGTATTAAACTTGAGAACTTTACTTGTGAGTGGATTTATTCACATGTACACCCTCCATGTGATGCCACATGTGCCTTTTTAGTGCCATGTGAGATGGGTTTTTGCAATTAACTCACTTTCTCTCAAGTCTCAAGAAGCTCTATGCTTTCACCAGAACATTTAAGTTTATTTACGAAAATGAAATGTAATAATATTTAATTAAATCTTATATACAATCTAGTTAGGGATGACCACTTTTACTGAGCTTTTTCCTTCTTCCTACTGATTTCTGCTGCAGCATGCTCTCTAAGGTAGAAGTAGAGTCACATGCCTGAGATCGCTTGGGCTACTTGACCATTAGTCAAATTTCCGTTAAAAGAAATTCTGACACAAGAAACTTAAGATTGGTATTGAAAGTGGAGTTAATGTGACATGTTTAGCTTAGATTTTATTTTATTTACTAGACAGATTTAATTTCATTTTGGAAAGTAACACATAAACTTCATCAATTATCATAGTGTGAAGTGATGGAACTCGTTGCTATTTAATTTATGTATTCTTAATTGAGATTGACACTGCAGGATAATTAAAAAACTAAAAAGCTGTGAAACCAATTTATCTCTTGGAGAGCATAGAAGTTGAAATCCACGCGTAACTTCATTTTATAGGAAAATAAATCCAAACTCATTTCAAATAATAATAATAATAATAATAATAATAATAATAATAATATTATTATTATTATTATTATTTCCTTAACAGTTTTAAAAAAATTGTGAGACAATTGTATGACTGATTTTAACTTCTTAAGGATTGCACTATTGAAGAAATTTCATGTTGAAATTCTTAAATTCCACGTGACATTGTAGGTCCACCAAAAGTGAGTTAAGCAACTTCACAATTGTTAAACCATTAAAAATACTAGAAATAACTTGGCCATAAAATAGAACCTTAAAAAAGTCTTTTTTTAAGGGAATAAAAATCATTCTTTGAACGAGTTACAAAAAAGATCTTTACCAGGACAAGGTACCTTATCAAATGCCAAACAACCTCGTCATGTCATCTCTTTCACAGTAAAGCACACAAACCTTAAAAAGTATCTTTCAATGATCCTTGCACCATTTTCCACACCTAAGCCAAGGAATGGCATCATTTCTTCTTTTTGACATTTTTCTCTTTCATGTTCATTCATAACATCCTTTTATATTCTTTAAACGATTCCTTTCTACATACATTTCCAAATTCCTTGCTTTTCTTTTCAGCTTCAGCTTTCCCTTTTGTATATAACACAGTACCAACAGTTTCTATTTCCATCCAACTAACTTAACGTCCACTACATTCACATCTACATCCAAATCGAAACTCACCATGTTGAAGAAATTTGGCAGAAAGATTGAAAGAGAAGTTACAAGACCCTTCAAACATAGATCACGGCCAAGACCATCCCTGCCGCCACCACCTCCTCCACCACCACCACCTCCGCCACCTCCTCCTCCACCACCCCCACCCCCGCCGCCACTGTCACCATCACCACCACCACCATCACCTCCTCCCAAGCAAACAAATACTCCTTTTCTCTTCCCTCAAACTCATTCCACAGTTCTCCCTGACCCTTCTACTTTCTTCTCTCCAAACCTTCTCTCTTCTCCTCTCCCTACAAACTCTTTCTTCCAAAACTATGTTCTCCAAAATGGGGACACACCTGAGTACATTCACCCTTACCTCATCAAATCCTCAAATTGCTCTCTCTCCCTCTCATACCCTTCTCTCACCTTCAACTCTTCTTTCATTACACAGGTTTTCAACCCTGACATCACCATCTCCTCATCAGAGACCAAAACTACCCCAGGCTCACACACAAAGCACATCATCTCTTCCTTCAGTGATCTCAGTGTTACTTTGGACATTCCCTCTTCAAACCTCAGATTCTTCCTTGTGAGGGGAAGCCCTTTTGTGACAGCTTCAGTGACATGTTCCACACCACTTTCCATCACCACCATGCATGCCATTCTTTCCCTCGCATCCAATAACTCCCTCACCAAACACACCCTGCAGCTCAACAATGGCCAAACATGGATCATGCACACTTCTTCCCCCATCAGTTTAAACCATGGTATTTCTGAGATTACTTCTGATGAATTTTCTGGCATAATTAGGATAGCGATGTTGCCTGATTCTGACCCCAAGTATGAGGCAATCCTCAATAGGTTCAGCTCTTGTTATCCTGTGTCCGGGGATGCAACATTCACAAAGCCATTCTGTGTGGAGTATAAATGGGAAAAGAAGGGGTGGGGGGAGTTGCTAATGCTAGCTCACCCTCTTCACCTTCAGCTTTTGTGTGATAATGATTGTGGTGTGACTGTGCTACATGATTTGAAATATACAAGCATTGATGGAGAGCTTGTTGGTGTTGTTGGAGACTCGTGGCTGTTGAACACAAATCCGATTTCAGTTACTTGGCATTCCACCAGAGGTATCAAAGAGGAATTCCATGAGGAGATTGTTTCAGCGCTTTCGGAAGATGTGGATGCTTTGAATCCCTTGGGAGTAACAACAACATCATGTTATTTTTATGGAAAAATTATAGCAAGGGCAGCAAGGTTAGCACTGATAGCTGAAGAGGTGTCTTTTCTTGATGTCATGCCAGCAATTAAGAAGTTTTTGAAGGAGGCCATTGAGCCATGGTTGGATGAAACTTTTAGTGGAAATGGTTTTCTCTATGATGGGAAATGGGGAGGTATTATTACTAAACAAGGGTCTAAAGATTCAGGTGCAGATTTTGGGTTTGGTGTTTATAATGATCATCATTACAATTTGGGGTACTTCCTTTATGGAATTGCAGTGCTTGCACAGATTGATCCAGCTTGGGGAAGGAAGTACAAGCCTCAAGCCTATTCACTTATGGCAGATTTCATGAACTTGGGAAGAAAATCAAACTCTAGTTACACACGTTTGAGGTGTTTTGATCTTTATAAACTGCACTCTTGGGCTGGAGGGTTAACTGAATTTGCAGATGGAAGAAATCAGGAGAGTACTAGTGAAGCTGTGAATGCATATTATTCTGCAGCATTGATGGGTCTGGCATATGGTGACACTCAACTTATTGCCACTGGATCAACCCTTGCAGCATTGGAAATTCATGCAGCTCAGATGTGGTGGCATGTGGGAGAGGGAAAGAAAACGTATGAGGAAGAATTTACCAAAGAGAACAAAGTGGTAAGTGTTGTTTGGTCCAACAAGAGAGATAGTGGACTATGGTTTGCACCTGCTCAGTGGAGAGAGTGCAGACTTGGTATTCATGTTTTACCATTGTCTCCAATTACTGAGGCCTTGTTCTCAAATGTTAGTTATGTGAAGGAGCTTGTGGAGTGGACATTGCCTAATTTGAATAGGAAAGGTGTTGGAGAAGGGTGGAAGGGATTTATCTATGCAATGGAAGGAACTTATGACAAAGAAAGTGCACTACAAAAGGTAAGAAGCTTGAAAGCTTTTGATGATGGAAACTCAATGACTAATCTTTTGTGGTGGATTCACAGCAGGGGTGATGTGGATGAAGAATTTGGTCATGGAAAACATTGCTGGTTTGGCCATTATTGCCATTAAACATTGTTAGCGTGTGAAAGTTCATAATTCGTATCATTGTAAAGATGTAGTTAATTAATCTCTTTATACAACACAAAAATGTGTTCTAATGAGTTATTTAATCAATATTAACAAGAATAACCTTTACATGATTCTTACGGCTTTTATTGTGTGGTTCTGGAAATTGTTTTGAATGTGAAATATGTTAGTTATTTTTAGGGGTGGCAAGTTTCCATTTGAGAATTGAAGACATTATTTTTAATTTTAAGAGCAACTTTAATTATATTTGTGTATTTAGTTTTGGCTAAACTTCCCTTTCAATTTCTCTATTTTTAATTATATAATTTTAGTTATCTAATTTCATAAAATCTACAATTTTGATCTTTTCGTTAAACATTCATATCTTAAAGGTTAAAATTATAATTTTATTCATTATTAGACACTTAGTAGATAATAAAATTACTAATATTTTATAATTTCAGACTAAATTTTATTTTTAGTTCTTTCTTGTATCTCATAAAAGTAATAAAATAAAATAAGAATGCAATGAAAATGATCAATAAAAGAGCAATCTATCTATTTATTTATAGTATAAAAGTTGATCTACAAAGTTATATGTTGTCACATTAACGTATTCTTATTTGCCACATCAACTAATTTGCTTATAAGTCAACATCTTAGGAATTTTACTTCTATTACATCTTCCTTGTCGATTTAACCAACCATACATTATTTATTTAAAAATTAATTTACACTAAAATTAACTACTCAATGTTGACACATTCTTTCTCACTTCTACCTTCCCTTTATCTATAGTATAAAAGCTTATATACAAAGGCACACGTTGTTACATTAATGTATTCTTATTTTCTACATAAACTAATTTGCTTATGTGTCAACATCTTAGGAATTTCACTTCCTATTACTTCCTCTTTGTCGAATTAACCAACAATACATTATTTATTTAAAAACTAATTTACACCAAAATTAGCTACTCAATGTTGACACATTCTTTCCCACTTCTACCTTCCCATTATTTATTGGTATTCAGTTCATATTCCTTTTTTACGATAATTCCCATGAATATTGCCTATTTGGGTTGAATATATATTATTGATATTTCTTATTTTTGATCTCTTAAAAGACAAAGTCTTATTCACTTGAAAGTTCTTTGATGATATTTATTCAATCTCACATTTTTGTTGGTATTCACTCACTCTCCTAAATATTTTAAAGCACATTTCTCATTGAACTCCATAATTCTCATGAAGATTGCTTATTTAGGACATATGAAGATTATTGACATTTCTTTTATGATCACATGTATTTTAAAGATGTCTAATATGCATAATTTTATTATGTTGTATTTTTTATTCTTTCTCCATTCTCTTGAATGTCTTAAAATGCTAACAATTATAAAACATTGTTCGTCTATGATCTTGTGTATTTTAAAGACATCTAATTTGTATAATTTTATTATGTTGTATTCCATATTCCTTCTCCACTCTCTTAAATGTCTTAAAAATGCTAGCAATTATAAAATATTGTTCTTTTAAAAAATATAATACTATTTTAAATTTTGTTGCATGTGTTCCATATTTTTCATCAAGAACCTTCACACAATTTTTGGACAATCTTTTGACATTGATATTTTCAATTCATGTTAATGTTCTAAGGCATAATTCTCGCAGATTTATATTTTTTTTTTGCAAAGAATAAAAGAAACATGTTAAAAATGTAAGAAAAATTTAACCAAAATATTTTTTTTATCAAGAAATTATGAAAAAAATTAATTACATTTATCAATTTTAATTTTTAACAATGCAAATTATGATAAATTTAATCATATTAATGTAAATTCAATCCAAATTTAATGTTATTATTATGTTTTAAATGTAAAATTCATATAACGACCAATTTAATACAAAATTTAATAATTTGTAACCTCACATATTATATTAATTATTTGTTAATTTTACACATAATTTTTTGTGCTTATTATTTTATTTCAATTCAGCTCATTTATTATAATTTATGCATAATTATGTAAATTTGCATTAAATTATATGTTACATGTTTACATAATAATAACACAAATCAATTTCAATTCAAAAGGATATTAATCCACTATAAAAATCCAACTCTAAATAATAATAAAAATTTAGCTGACTCTAAATAAGTTGACACGAATTCTCTTTATTTCTCTCTAAGCATGTATAATGTTAGAAAAGCCAACATTATTTTTTTAAATATAGCATCGACTTTTCTAACGCTAAATTTAAATTAAGTTTAGTATCGGAAAAGTCAACATTAAATATAATAGTTTTTTTGACACTATCTTAATTTAAATTAGTGTCGGAAAAGTAGACACTATATCTAAAGAAATAGCGTCGAATTTTTCGATAGTAAAATTAATTTAAGTTAATTAGTGTTCGACACTATTCTTTACATATATCATCGATTTTTTTATACTAATTTAAATTAAGCTATTGTCAAAAAAGTCGATGCTAATTTAAAGAATATTGTCAACTTTCCAACACTAAATTCAATTTTAAATTTAGTGTTGAAAAAGTCAATGTCACATCTTAAAATAACATTTACGTAAGCTATTAAGCAATACTTATTTTATATATATATATATATATTTTGTAATCAAACAATTCTATTTTAATTCCCCTTGTATAGAGGAGTATATTAAAAAAAATAATTAATTTTTATATTAAAATTTATAAAATATTCATAATTTAAGCAATCATATTTCTACTTATAGCTTTGCCTTAATTTTGTTTAATGATCTTATTATGTTCAGAGTTAAAATAATAATCCATATAGTAGGTAAAGTTACAAATTATTTTAAATTTGTATTAAATTAGCCGTTATATAAATCCTACATTTAAAACATAATAACATTAAATTTGGATTAAATATATGATTTTACAGTATTTTTCAACGAAAAAATAATTTTTTTTTATCTAACTATCACAACCCAATAAAAATTATTATCATTTAAAAATTGAAAATTATATTAATAATAATAATTATGGCTATAATTAAGCTCCTTACATTGTAGGTTTTGATAATAGTTTTTCTATTTATATAAAGTATGTCTATCTTGATTTTCTTATGTTTGTGTGATTTATTTTTCTCTGTACAAAATATACAAAAAATTATATAAATTATTTGTTGGCTCAAGATGTAATTTCTTTTATTCATCGCGTATAATTTTCATTTTTATATATTATTATTATTATTATTATTATTATTATTATTAGCATAAAAAAGGTACTCCGTGCCTGCATTGTATTAAAAAAAATATGGAAAAGAATGAGAAGCTACTCATAAAAAAAGTAGTTATTGAAAAATAAATAAAGGATAAAATGGTCCATGTAAAAATGGAAAGCAAAAGTAGTTATTGAAAGTGGTATCCCTTTTATATATTAATTAATTAATAATATAGATGTAAATGTATATAATTAATTTAATTTTAAAAAATTAATATTATTTAATGTCACATATTTTATTTTTTAAATTAAATTGAAGGAAACTTTTGAAATCAAACGTGAAACATGAAGATATTTTCAAGGGTGGCTTTGATTTAAAATCCTTCTTATATGTGAAAAAAATAATAATATCAATGGTAGAAAAAACAAAGAAAAGAATGGAGGAATTACTTTAGTAGAAGCAGAGCGAAGCACAGAATGTTGGATCACAACCTTATCGCAAATTTTTGATGTTCCAAATGCAAGCAAAGCATTAAAAACAACCTGAAAACCAAAATCGAAACTAAATTAGTGTCATTTACTATGACACCCTTCTACCCCAACATTAATATACAACAAATGTAATAAAAAAAAAAATTTCTTTTTTTTTGGGTAAATAGAAAATCAAATGGAACAACGGCACCTTCAACAAAGAACAAAGTAGAGTAAATAAAAAATCAAACAGAACAACAACAAGGGATTGGGGACCAATCCGACAATCATACTATCCAACAATTATCCCCACACCCCCGAGCGAGGTTTCTCACTCCCCCCTTACCTGGATAAGCAGAAGCTGGAATTTGGGCAGGGCCTCCTCCTCTGGATTCCCTCTTTCCTTCCCTCTCTTTCTTTCTCTTTCTCTTTCTCTTTCTCTCTCTCTCTCTCTTTCTCTCTCTAAGATTTTCACTTCTCCCTCAGTTATAAAATTTTCACCCCCTGCCCCTATTTATAGGCAACCTGGTGTACCCGGAACGACCCGTATTGAATTCGGAATGGCCTGTTCTGGATCCTTCGAATCTGTGCAAAATTTTCAACTGGAACGACCGTTCCAAAATCAGAACGGCCCGTTTCAAAAAGCAGAACGGCCCATTTCAAAAAGCAGAATGGCCCGTTCTGAAGTTCACGTTAACATTGATTGACCATAGTTGGAACGACCCGTTCCCAACTAAGGTCTTTAGGCAATTTTAGAATTTCGGAACGGTCCGTTTCCCTTTGGGAACGGTCCGTTCTAGAAAAACCTACAAAGGCATTTTTTCTTCTTTGGAACGGCCCGTTCCACTTTTTGGCGTAACTTCATTTTATAGGAAAATAAATCCAAACTCATTTCAAATAATAATAATAATAATAATAATAATAATAATAATAATATTATTATTATTATTATTATTTCCTTAACAGTTTTAAAAAAATTGTGAGACAATTGTATGACTGATTTTAACTTCTTAAGGATTGCACTATTGAAGAAATTTCATGTTGAAATTCTTAAATTCCACGTGACATTGTAGGTCCACCAAAAGTGAGTTAAGCAACTTCACAATTGTTAAACCATTAAAAATACTAGAAATAACTTGGCCATAAAATAGAACCTTAAAAAAGTCTTTTTTTAAGGGAATAAAAATCATTCTTTGAACGAGTTACAAAAAAGATCTTTACCAGGACAAGGTACCTTATCAAATGCCAAACAACCTCGTCATGTCATCTCTTTCACAGTAAAGCACACAAACCTTAAAAAGTATCTTTCAATGATCCTTGCACCATTTTCCACACCTAAGCCAAGGAATGGCATCATTTCTTCTTTTTGACATTTTTCTCTTTCATGTTCATTCATAACATCCTTTTATATTCTTTAAACGATTCCTTTCTACATACATTTCCAAATTCCTTGCTTTTCT